CTCATTTTTTTCAGTGGTAGCCTCTGGTACTGGTCAGGGTTACTGTCCTCCACCAGCTTTAGACAGCCAGAACACAATGTCTTTGGCTTTTGGTTTAGAGTCTTATAAAGTTCCGACTCAGTCTTCTAAGGCAGCACCAATGTGGTGCTGTCCCTGGGCTGGATAGTGTTGGCTGAAAAACTACAGTTACCAGCTCATGATCAGATGAGGATTAATATTTGAGTCTAAAAACTTAGAGAATTTATAAAAATTATTTTATTATTTTGGCTTTTTCCCCTGTTATTGAAATGTGCTGTATTTGTTGTATGTTATAAAATTGTGGGAGAAGATTGAGAAGATTACTCAATCAAACAGCTGCTGATGAGAACCTGTTTGATCCCCAGCATCTGTGTAAAAAGCTGGGGGCAGTAGGCTTGGGGGCTCAGTGGACCGCCTCAGATCATAATGGGAGACTTTGTGTGGAGAAGACAAGCCATATGGCTCCTGAGGAATAGCATCTGAAGTTGATATCTGTATTCGACACACAGGCATAGCCATATACCTTGGTCACACATGAACATAGATGTACATGCACATGCATACACACACATGCACACATTCATGCACACATGCGCCCCTACACATCCTCACACACACATACACATACAACCCCCCTGCACATACACATAGAATAAAATAAAATATGAATAAAAGTTGGGACTACTATGTTCTTGTGTTTTTCCATTACATACAGACCTCTCAGTTACTATGTAGCCCCAGCTAATCTCAAACTAGAAATTCTCCTGCTTCAGCCTCCCGAGCCTGGTACAGGCATGTATCACTATACTTGGCTTCCTATTGCAGTTCTTTTTTTTTTTTTTTTTTCGAGACAGGGTTTCTCTGTGTAGCCCTGGCTGTCTTGGAACCTCACTCTATAGATCAAGCTGGCCTCGAACTCAGAAATCCACCTGCCTCTGCCTCCCAAGTGCCGGGATTAAAGGTATGCAACACCACTGCCTGTCCTATTGCAGTTTTTAAGAACTCATTTATAGTGTATATTACAAAAGTATCAACAACACACATGTAATACACACACACAGACATGTACACACAAACCCGGTTCTTGACCAGAGTATGGGGAACATGGTTCTTAAGATTTAAGGACGTCTTCCAACCTTTTCCCACTTTCAATTTTCTTTTTATCCAAGAAATTTTTATGCAATTTTGAGTGTGTATGTGTGTGTGTGAGTGTGTGTGTGACAGGGAGTGTGTGTGTGACAGGGCATGTGTATGTAACACTGTGTGTGTGACTGTATATGGGGAGGATGTGTGTGTGACAGGGTGTATGTGAGTGTGTGTGTAACAGTGTAAGTGTGCATGGCAGGGTGTGTGTATGTGTGTGTAACTGTGTGTGTGTGACAGGGTGTATGTATGTGTATGTAACTCTGTGTGTGTGTGTGTGTGAGACAGAGTGTGTGTATGTGTATGTAACTGTGTGTGTGACTGTGTGTGTGTGACTGTGTGTATATGTGTGTGTGACAGTGTGTGACTGTGTGTGTGTGAGAGACAGGATGTGTGCGACAGGATATGACAGTGTGTGTGACTGTATGTTGGGGAGGATGTGTGTGTGAGAGTATGTAATAGCTACAGAAATTAAGCATTTACTGGTACTAAATAATAAACTTATTTAAAAGCAATTCTTTGTGCATATATGTTACCATTTGTTAAAGATAAAAGAAAAATTTTATACTAGTGAGTTAGCTGTATTTAAAATATCAAATTTATGGTGAATGGTGGAGAGCACCATTCACATAAATATACAGCACAAATTAGCAGAAGTATATTTAGGGGTACTTAAGAAATTGTTGGAAATTCTGTCCTAACAGCAACCCAAAATTCATTGATAACTTTTTAATGAAACTCAAACTAGCAATAAAATCAGCCTTAAAAATAAGATTTCTAATGCAACTAAATATAGTTATATGAATTTGATACATGCAGAGGAAAGGTGGTAGAAAAATATTAAAAGTGTTTTTGCGTAGGTATGTAGTGGCTCACACCTTTAATCCCAGCACTTATGAGGCAGTCTGGCAGATCACTGTGAGATCCAGGTTGGCCAGGTTTACATAGTGAGTCCCAAGACAGCTAGAACTATGTAATGAGACCTTGCCTTGAAAAAAATATTGTAATTGAAACAGTATATTTCAATGAGACAATAAGACTTTGTATGTACAATAAAAACACTGCAAATAGTAACACACAATAGTCTCAACTTGGACCCAAGGTGTTTCGGCAGCATCCCTGGCGTTGACTGTATAAGAGCATGCACAGTGTGAAGTGACTGTGCTGCTCGTCCAGAGCCATGTTTTAATGAAGTCACGTGATAACATGGGTGAGAACTGACAAAAACACCTTGGATTTGTTATACATGTATGTTGGAATTGTATTGGTCACTGCATGTTCAGATGCCATTTGCCAACTTTTTTTTTTTTTTAATCTCCATTCATTTAAGCCACCCTTAGTTTAATAAGTTCTGCAGATCTAGACTCTGTGGCAGGCAACTGCTGTGGGACTCTGATTTGGCTTCGTGATTGGCCCAGCATGTGAATGAGAACTCATTTAATTCTTTGGGTTACGACTTCTTCTTCCCTCGTGTGGAGAATACTATTCAGATTGCTAGTTTTAATTAAGCTGTTTTGTCATAAAAGGGGTCACACATTTTAGAGTTAAACAGTCTGTGCTGTGTGACTTTGGGAGGTCACATGGGTTTTCAGAACCTCAGTTCCTTCGTGGACAAAATAAAGGCACTGTTCTCTGCCTTGGGCAAAGCTCATGATTTAGAAGGAATTGAGAGGGAATTCATCACAGTGTTGTGCAATAGGATTTCCAGCAGTGATGTTGGCTTATGTGTACAATATTGTAGCCTTTAGATACAGTGCTTTAAATATGGCTACTAAAGCCTAAACTCAAATGGCCAAAGCAGGTCTGTCATGCTCACCTACAGATAGCAGACTCTATACCTACAAGTTTAATGAGCATTGCAGAAACCCATAACAGACCAAAATCCAAGAGTAAGCACTGCCTTAGATGGGATATCTATTTTACTCCCTCCGACACTCAGGGAATACCATTGAAGAGGGGGAAGAAGTTATATAGAGGCAGAGGGTAGGGGGAGGGTCAACAAAAAGACCGACATAGCCAGTACACTCAGGAACCCAACATAGCTTGGATATTTGCTCATATATGCACAAGATTGGTCCTGCCAGCATTTCATTGTGGATGAATACTTCCTTCTGAGGGACTATTGGGAAGTAATAGTTGCTGTGGAAAGAGGTGTCATTTTCTTCAGTGGTGTAACTACCAGTCAGTTGACCTTTAATAAGTAACCTACACTCACGCTCCAGCAGACAATTCCAGCTAAGCTCAGTGAGTCCTACCCACACAAAGAAGAAGTGAAAACAGAGAGGGGAAAGAAAACGTCAGTAGGGACGGAAAGGGTGTAAGAGTGGAGAAGGGGATGGATTGTCTAAGGTTCATGATATGTTCATATCTATGCACGTATGAAATTTTGTCAGGGACGAAAAAAAGTAGAAAAAAATTACAATTTTATTAGGCATACACCAGATAGCATTTTAGATATTGTACATATATCTATTGATGAAAGAAACATGGCTTCCATATACTTAAGCCTAGCTGCTAAAGCAGAACTAGAATTTACCAACTTCTCTGGAACATATTGTATCACTCTGGATCCTTTAACTATTGAATGACTCTTTGAGAGTAATAGTTAAGACATTTTTTATGGACTGGCAATGGCTGCCCTCCTAGTACTTAGCAGGCATCAGAAATTGTGATTCTCAGATGAGTAAATCTGTACAGGAGGCTTCTGGAAAGACAGGGACGAAGACTTCTCTATCTTTACTGCAGTCTCAGGACAACAATGGCCCAAGGAATTGTAGAAGAGAGAAGTTAAGACTCCTGTCCCAGGTTCCTCATGAGGGTCTAGTGTAGAAGGGGCAAATGGTGCAGCTATTGAGAAGGCAGGAAGCCCCTCCTTCCTCGTCAGCCATGAAGGTTTAATGTGGTCTGTATGGGGATCTGCTCTAGCAAGGAGACCTTTGCACAGGGGCTATTAATGCCTGGACGACATAGAGATTCTACATGGCAGGACTAGAGAACTCTACACCACAGTGCTAGTAGATTAGTTATGACATTCTCACATGCTGCTTGTCACTGGTCCCAGTGCAAGACGTATATGGCTGAAGAGGCAGGTGGGACTTCCTGTCCATCACGGTTGTATACATTCAACCCCTTACTCACTTGGCCTTTAGCATTGGCTCAAGTAGGGCCCTTTGGTGGACTAACTTAGCTCCCAGGGAGGCTAGAAGAGGGCCTTAGATACCCTGGAGCTGGAGTTACAGGTGCTTGCGAGCTGCATGATACGGATGCTGGGAATTGAACTCAAGTCCTCTGTAAGATAGCTCTCTTAACTACAGAGTCATTTCTTCAGCCTAATCATGATGGCTTTTCGCACACACATACACTTCAATCATTGTATCTCTGTTTCCCTGTGTGGGTACCCTGTCCCTGTATTTATTTTTTAAGTCTAGAATCTATATCAAAAGAAATATAATCTCTGTCTGCACCATCTGAGTCAGGCTTAAAATGATGACCTCTGGCCTCACTCCTTCATTTTTCTTTAAGGCTAAATGGTGCTCTGTTATGAACACATATAACTTCTTTTCCCCATTGATCGGAACCTGGTTGATTCCATAACTTGGCTACTGTGAAGCTTGGAGGGCAAGCCAAACTCCTCCAGCTCAGAAACAAACATCCCCTTAAAAAACAAAAACCAAACCAAAACAACCCAAAACTTCAGTGTGGATTCCACTCACTGAAGACTGGACCATGTTCTTCTTGGGGTAGAAAGTCCCGAGGGTAGTCTCAAAGTCCTTCTAGGCTTGAAGCACATCACTGAAGACTGGCAGGCCACAGGCTCATGCAACTTGTAAGTCACTCACCTTTTTCTAGAATACAGCTTTCCCCAGAGCCTCTTTCTCTGGACTATCACTATGGCTAGGAAGACCAAAACAATGGTGCAGGCTGGGATGAAAATATGAAGTGGCCACGTTCTGGGGACTTTGTGTTCCATCCAACCTGGGAGAATGAGAGAACCAGAATCTCATCACAGGGTGGCTCCCAGACAGACTGAGGTGGCTTCCTGAGTGGTTTCTACCCCATGGCGATGAGGTTACACCTTCACTCCAGATCTCTCCCAAGTAGAAGCTCTTTTCCTTTCACCTCCACCCAGCCTCTCCTTTGATCTCTATTTTCACACAGGAAAGAAGCAAGGCTGAGAAATGTCCCCAAAGTTAGACAGTAGGTGATTCAGCTGAGATACGGACCAGACTGTGTGCGCCTTTTGTGGCTTTGTCGTTCCATCCACCCACCTATTTGTCATCTTTCTTTCTGCTTTTTCCTTCCTCCCACCTCTCTGTCACTATCTCTACCTCCATCTCCTTTTTCTTCACCTCCTCGATTTTCTCATTCAAGTAGAAAAGTCCCTTAGCCCGAAAATGTATTTTCTCCCTCACTGATAAAAACACGAGTCTAGACTCTGCACTGTTAGTTATTCAATTTTAGACACCAGACAGATCCTTTGGAAAAAGCAGAACAACCCAGGTAGGGGTGACATGTTAAATCCAGCCATTGGGGTCTTGGTATGAATGACTGCAAGTAACCCCTTATCTTGTCTGGACTAACCAAGGTGCTGCCACTGACACATCTATTTAGTGAGGAAGTGAGGAGAAGAGTAATTTAGAGGCTGGGGGACACCTTTGCAGAGCATTGGGTCCTTCAGGCTTGCCAGAAAGAGTGAAGAGAGGGCTACAGGGATGTTCAAAACATGGCAAAGAATAGGCACACAAGTTACCCTATGCCTATTTCTAAGACTGGAACTTTGCCTCCTAGAGTAATGGATGTAGGCTAAACCTAACTGCTATATCAGAAAAGTCGTACAAAACTATTCAGGAAGTGGGGTTTGATCTGCAGGCTGCTCTGCTCCTGACCTTCCCTCTACAGTACATGGAACTATGGAATAGTCTGGCTAAGAAAGGATTAGATACCATATAATCCTGAGTCACTTTAGAGCCAAGGAAGTCTCAGGGATGCTAATCTGTCTACGGTCATTGTTTCCAAGGAAGTAACACAGCCAGGATTTTAGACCCAGATCTTTCTGACCCAAAGCTCAAGCCCCATAGGTATCATCTTTACCCAAGAGCACGTGAACACTAGAACCAAAAAGATAAAGGCCTGCTTGGTAGATGTAGGGGGAGGTGCTGATTCCATGACTGGTTCTTGATTGTGTCAATAAAGAAGGCGGAAGCTAATTGCTGGGTAAAGGTGGGACTTCTTGGTCCCAAGAGGGGGAGGGGGAAGGGGAAGGGGAGGAGGGAGAGGAGGAATAGGAGGAGGAAGAAGAGGAGGAGGAGGGGAAAGAGGAGGAGGGGGAGGAGGAGAAGACATGAGGAAAGAGAAAGGAGTTTGCAGCCATACACAATTGTGCTATCTGACAAGTTCTAAATTAATAAAGCTGTCTAAGTGTTTTTGTTCCTCGGAGCAAAGCTGGGCAGAGATAGAGGCAGGGGTGGTAGCTGGTGGCTAGCTGGGAGGGGCTGGGAGCACGATCACAGCTCCTGAGGAAGGCACCAGTTGGCCATTGGCAAGCTAAGCCAGGAGGAAAGGGCTTTCCCAGGAGTGGGGTGGGCGGCAGCTGATCTCCAAGGTAAGTCAGGGATCACAGGCCTCCACCTGGGCAAGGAGATAATGTATTTTAAAGTACATGCAACAGGTAGAGGCATGTTGCAAAACCCTAACTGATCACACTGCTTCTTTCCTACTAAATGCAGGTTGCAGGTCGTGCTATGAGCCAGGCCCCTGCCTCAGCATCTTTGGGAACCCTTGTTCTATCCAGGTATGGTCATAGATCCATTCACGTATGTAATTTCTGCTCATCCCTGAAGACTTAAGTTTCCTTAGACTTTATTTGGAGGATGAAGTTAGTAGCTAAGCCACCACTAAGCCTGGTATGAGGCCCAGCGTGACTGCATGAGAGGCGAAAGTCGAAGTTCCTAGGCTGAACTGACTATCTAGTCTACCTGGAGGATCAGTAGTTACCATGTGGCAACCTGCTGGCTATTAATTTACCTACTCCCTCCTTCCCAGGGCTAGGTTACTAGCTAGGCATATAGCCCTCAGAGGCTGCTTTTCGAGACCCCCCCCCCCCAGTCAGCCCTTAGATGTAGCCTGTAGTATAAACTAAGTTCAGACCCAGAGTGGGCTCTATAGATGTTGACTTTAGAACATCAAAGGTCTCTCCTACCACTCTTTCCTCTCTGAAGGCAGGGATATAGATTTGGCCATGACCCTGATTTGACAATTCAACAGGGTCAATATCCTGGAGAAGGGCAGAGTAACAAGATGGAAATAACCTGGGTCATTGAATGACTTATGGAAGGTAGTCATTTAGCTGCTTGGAGCACTTTCTAAGTCCTATGCAAAGGGAAATACACTGTTGCATTGAGTCGTTGCATGTTTGAGGATCTTCATTATGGCAGCATGGCCTACATATTCTTATATATTATTTTAGGAGAACTGCATTCTCTTTAACAACGATAAGATACGCGATGGGAAAAATATCCATCCTATCTTACCACAGTCCTGTGCACTCAGAAAGAAGCCAGGAGTCTTGCTGGAGGTGACAAAGTGGTTGCCCCCCTCTTTAGTATCGCATTTCCTTTACTTATACAGTAACTTTTTAAACTAAATGATGATACAGTAAATGTATCATCGTTTACTGTAACTGTATACCTGAGAGCCCGAGTTCCCGGAAGACTCTGTAGGATGTTCAAGTTCTAAAGCCAAGAGGCGGCAGAGCATTTGAAGTTGAAGTCTAGTTTCAGAGTCCACATTCTTTTCTGCTCCTCAGCTTCAGAGGTCCCAGGAGGGTTTCACTTTTGTCAGTTCTACCAGGTATTTTACAGTTACTCCCATGGTCTAGCCCAGTTACATGCCAATGAAAATGTAGCCACTGGCTGAGGACAGCCTTGTTTCTGAAGGAAAATGACCTGATGACTCCCTACCTGCTGGCCAAAATTTAGTATGTTCACCCTTCTGTTCTAGAGTGTCAGGCATCCTCCACCTTCTGTTCTAGAGT